TGTTTGCTTAATTTATGAGCAAATGCACGCTGGACTGAAGACATTATAAATGTCCCAGTGAAATAATCTGACGAGATTCTACAAAATAAAAAAGATTATATGAATAAATCTATTTTGATAAAATACTATAAATGATTTTAACCATTAAACTCAAATTAATAATTGTAATGTATTTTTTTCCTTTACGGAATGCAAATTTGATTTTTTTTTTTTTTTAATAAAATAATATATAGTATCTTTAAATTTGCATTATTTTAATACACACACACACACACACACACACACACACACAAACAAACACAATTATTATTTTATTCATAAATAATGCGTGCTTCTAATTATAACAACAATATATTATAACAAATCTAGAAATAGTAAAACTGAAAAGTAATGATTAATATTCATAAGTTGTGAGAATAGCTTGGAAATGGAGCAGAAATTATAACTGTGCCCAAAACAAAATAATGAGATATCGCAACAAGAATATGTATTTATTACATCGAACAATTACTTATGTTAATCCAAATTCATCGAGAACGAGTTGGTTGTGAGTAATCAAAATCGCCGACAAGAATTCGCTGTTCTTCAATATTTCCTCAAACTTTGACACGTTTATATTTGACGTGAATCCTTCACTGACGCTTCTTAGAACTGTCAGACTAATTAAAACTTAAAAACTGATCGGAGTGATCGGAAGAACCAGATTTTAGGCGACTTTTGCTACTCTGCACTGCACTACAATTGATCACACTGCACTGCCTATACTTGTATTGTCAATTGTAGTGCCAGAAAGACTTTTGTCGACTTGTGTCACTTCAGTCACTTGTAAATGGAAAGCGCCCATAAATTGCCATAAGTAAATGCTCCCTGATTATCTGTGTGATTTATACATGTGAGAGTGGATGAACACAAATATGGCGCTGTCCAGTGCTGTCTTCAAACGTAGAGGCGAAATCGGCATAGGAGTCTGTAGTTGAGTAACAGCTGTTGTGAAAAACGATAATAAGCAGACATCGGGCATGTCATAAGAAATGCAGAAAACGATAATAATGATGTGTAACAGGAAATCCGAATCCAAACGGCGGAGTCAGTTCGTATAATCTGAGAGATTTATGGAATTTCACAAACGTCATGTGTCCTGCACTATTGGAAAACGAGGAGCGATGTTTGGGTGGCATGACTTTTTTCGCGCAAAGCCACCCAGGGGAAGTGTGCGGCAGCAACGGTCTACCACTCACCCCGAATTCCATAACTATCTACGGAAAGGCGCAATTTCTAAAGACCATCTACCATCCTCATCTCTCTCCCTATCTTGACATAATTAGAAGCAAACACGGTGAGTCCTGACAACGCAAATTAATTTGTTTCTCAGTGAGACTGTATAAATTATTTTTGTATATTTGTAGAGAGAATTGTAGTTGTTACGGAGTACAGTGGAAATCCATTGAGCACTAGGTATGATTTAAGTACAAAAGAAATCGTCAAGATATCCTTTCAGAGTCTCTTAGCGTTACGACGCATGAACGAACTAGATCTTGTGCATAGACACTTGAGTCCAGATAATATATTGATTAAGAAAAATGGTGATGTCCAGTTATACAACTATGGATTGTATTACATGACAGATGGAGGAAAGAATGTATCTTTTCCAATTGGGTATTTTTTCAAATATTTCTTTTTACTAAAATAAATATTAATGGTTTTATATATATATATATATATATATATATCTGTATATATATATCTGTTATAAAATTATAAATAAATTTTCTTTTCTCAGTTCTCCAAAATACACAGCACCAGAGGTACTTCTAAATCCTAGTCCGAGTGGTGTTAAAATAGACTCTTGGTCTCTGGGAATGATTATAGCGGAGCAACTATTAGGACAACCTATCTGGCCTGGTATAAAATTATCCCAGTGTTTGAGGAGAGTTCTGAGCTTAATATTGTGTGATACTGGCATATTTGAACGTCTTGCCAGAGAAAATAATTGTTTCCATACTTATGAAGTATGGATTTATCTATTATGTATTATAATCTATTTACATTATAATGTTATATATCTTGTAACATTAACATCTTTGTATCATATAGAAGTTACCAAGAGAGCTAAAGGAATTTGTAGATTCATGTCTGCAAATTCATCCTACTAAGCGCAAAACTCCAGAAGATTTACTGGAGTTGCCGATATTTGCGGAATATTTAATAAGAAATACACAAGAAAAGGAAGAAAATCTCTATAAGAATGTTATTGTTAGAAAAATGGATGAGTTGTATTATCTATGGCAATTGGCCGGTGGAGATATTACTATAGATCTAAAAAAGCAGAGTCTCATTAGATCAAGACCACCTATCTTATCTATTCCAAAGTAATTTTCAAATATATATGTATAAAATAATCATTTATATAATTATATTGTTCAATGCGATTATATCAAATATTTGAATTTTTTGTTTCAGCTTAGTCATATTACTTGGTCAAATGTTTGGTCAGAGAGACACTGCTAGTCTACTCGATGTAAGGGTCGTAAAAGTTCCTATGGAGACTCTTCGCCAGCGTTTAGCTCATATCCCATACATAGCAAACTATCCTTGGTTAACAAACCAGTCAGCTCACTTTTATCTCTCATCCTGTATCTATCTTAATATTATGAATTGTTATAAAAATTTTACATTACAGAATGCGAGTTCAGGCGCAAGAAGATCTGACGAATGCCGCATCTCAGTTGCCATTAATTATAAGGGAACGTGATACAGAATATCAGTTTTATAGGCTTGTCCTATTCGACAGACTTTTACAGGCTTATCCGCTCACTCAGGAGGCAATTATCGAGGAAGCACATAAAGATATACCGCCTCCAGTTAGAGGTGCCGTATGGGCGGCTTTACTTGGTATCACCGGCGATATACAAAAGCGTTATGATATGATTGATAAGGAAACGCCCACTCATACTGATCGGCAGGTATATAATTGCATATTATAATATGATACTCGACATGTAAATGCATTTTGCTAATAATTTGATTTCAGATAGATATATAATAATTTCAGATAGAAGTGGACATACCGAGATGCCATCAATATAGTGAATTACTGTCATCTGGTGCTGGACATGAACGATTGCAAAGATTGCTAAAGGCGTGGGTCAGGAATAATCCACATTACGTTTATTGGCAAGGGCTCGATTCGCTTACAGCTCCGTTTCTTTATCTAAATTTTAATAATGAAGGTGTGACTATCCAACATGCATATTTTGGTTTCTTTATCTGTAACTGGGATATAAAATCCTGGTAACTCTGAAACATTTTTCTAATTTTTAAATAGTATAATGATTTGGAATAATTTTATATTTCATATCTTATTTTTCATGATTTTGTTTTGTTATAATTTTTTAGTTGAAAATTTTTAAATTTCTAAAACTATATAATAATTTTTTTATACATAGTTGAATAATAATAATTTTTTTATAGTTAAAAATTTTAAAACTTTTAAAACTATATATGTATAACAAAAAACTTTAATAGGATCTGTATATTTATTTAGTTATAAAAAATATGTTTTTCTGTTACGAGTTAATGTATCGCGCAATTGGTTTTAGCTCGAGCTTTTGCGTGTCTGTCAACCTTCATACCGAAGTATCTCCACAAGTTCTTTCTGAAAGATAATTCAGCGGTGATACAGGAATATCTGGGAAAGTTTTCCCAAATTATTGCGTTCCATGATCCCCAATTAGCTAATCATCTGAAGTCCATAAATTTTGTACCGGAACTTTTTGCCATACCATGGTTTCTAACGATGTTTTCACGTAAGTTTTGTTATTGATATTTTCATCATATTATTAATTGATATAAAAATTAAAAAATGATTAATGTTTTAGATGTATTTCCATTACATAAAATATTGCATCTATGGGATAAACTATTACTGGGAGACTCATCGTTTCCTCTTTTAGTTGGATTAGCGATATTGAAGCAATTGCGAGATTCCTTATTAATGTCAGGTTTCAATGAGTGTATTCTCCTGTTCTCTGATTTACCTGAAATTGACATAGAATTATGCGTTAAAGATTCCATGACAATGTATCAAAACACACCCGCTAGCATTACATACAGAAAACACCAATACAATACAGCAAAGGTACAGTATTGTTGTAATTGATTAATCTGCATATTATAAAATTCTAATTAATTTGTAGGATGCAAACTGGATTGAACCCGAAGCGGGAACCGAAAAGATGCCAAGAATAAGTGTGGAAGACTTTTTAAATCTTTACAACAATTCACCGAGTAAAGTTATAGTGGTTGATGTACGTAGTAATATACAGTAAGTATTTATTTTCAAATTGTAATAACAAAATTCTGTTGAAAGGATTTATTTCCTAAACTAATCTGTTTTTAACAGATTCGAGAGGGGTGCTGTTCTCGGTAGTATTAACATTCCATTTACAAGTGTGCAATTATCTCAAACTCACATCGACACACTCGGGCCGCATGCAAAACCGTTGACAGATAATAAAAGCAATGTTGTTGTGATTATTGGACCGCACAATCAAAACAATGCACTGGCAAGTAAATCATATATAAAAGGAAATTGTGAAGAGAGATTTAATTGTAATATATTTTCTATTAGTTTGCAGAATTTCTGGTAAAATGCAATGTCATAGGAGTCTGTTCTCTGCAAGGCGGAATGAATGCGTTACGCTCTAAGTCTCCGAATATTATAGTACCTGCACGTTAATTGAATTACGTAATTGAGTTACTATATATATAATACTCAAATGTATTCTCTATAGTATATACAAAAAGTAAAGTTTACATAGTACAATTGATATACGATATCTGTAAATCTGTATAACGATCTTGTACAATTTTGTTATAAAAAATTTCATTGTATCGCGTGACTTGATTATTCACAAATGATATGCCATATATGCTTCGTATGTGTACATCTCCGGTTGCCATGACAACGAATGTCAAAGTTGTGGACACTAAAGCTTAGACATGTGCCTTTTGTTGCACACTTTTTAATTAGTTTTACTCATATAATATTAATTTAGGTAAAAAAGTATGGATGTACCACCGGATCTTCACAAATGGCTAAGAAAATGTTTGAAGAAGGAGTTCGGAAAAATTATACAAAACGCTATAGACAAGGAGCAGGTGCCCAGCGATATCGCCTACAAACTCTCACATTCCAAGGATATGACTGCTTTGTTGAATTCTATGAAGAAGGCAATCGCCGAGCAATACGTGGTGGTAAAACCTTCATCCGCGGCATCGCAATCGCAATCGTCACATTCCTTCGCCAGCGATATCGCAGCAGACGACTGGACTTCTTCGCAAGGAAATGCGGAAGAATACAACTGCATTATTGACAAAATTAGTCGTGACAAGCCAGTCCACGTGAGACTGGCTGGCTATGAAATTTTATTAAAGATTGAATTATCCAATATAAATAACAGTTCTCAGTGGGATGTTTTCCAAAAGACGTTGCTGGATGGTCTCACAGATGATAGCAGAGCTATATTCGATGCTAGCATGCAGGTACATGCAAGGTTGCTGAATTGCTCGCAATTAAACCATATTTACAACAATTTATTGAACGCATTCAATGCGCAATATCATTCGCAGAAATTGCGCGAGACTCTGCCCACTCTAATCTCCGGAATTAATTTCAAGTTTTTCCTGCATGAAAAACTGTTTTACATAATGCATCTGATAGTTCGCTATCAAGAAGAAATGTTAAAAAACACTAGGCTCAGCGACAAGACTGTGGAAGAAGTTATAGAGCAATTTGTAGTATTTCTCAGTACGCATAGTTTTGGCAACTCGTTGCAACCTAAAACTTTAAACATGCTAAATATTATCTCGGTATTAGAGCCGCAGGCCAAATGGAGTAAAAGGTGGCTTCATAGTCTCTCTACCAGGAGAACTTTCATTGTTATTCTAGCAAAGTCTCCGACGTTTCTGCAAAACGTTATTGAATGCGTTAAGAGCGGTGTGGCAGAAACACCTTGTTCCTTGTCCATCTCTATCACGGATGAAAATAACGAGCTATGTATCCCTGGCAATACGATAGAAACTGCAACTTATCTGCATTGTTTGACCTTTGTCTCGCAGCTCTGCAGCTGTGAGGCGGGTAGAAAGTTGCTCGCGGAGAGTTCATTAAAAACGCCATTTGATGTGGCTGATTTCTTAATAGAATTATTGAACTCTTTAAATAAATTAGCAGCAGACGCTCCAAGTGGAGTATATAATACTTCTTGTAACGCTCTTCAAAATATGCTCGATGTTTCGGATGTACTATACAACGCTGACTTTTACCATGCTACATTATGTCGCTTGGCATCTCTTTCCGAAAATAATATAAAGATTTGGCCACATACGTTAAACATTATTTCTCACATGATAGATACGACAGACGGTCCGGCATTTTTGACTACAAATTGTAAAGAGCATTCAACAAATTCTGAAAATACCTCATCAAAGTGCCCAGTTGCAATCATAATGCAATGTATGTCGAATTTATTGAAACAGCCGTTTTCTATAATGGATATAAAATGTATCCTAAGTTCATTTAATCTAATAGAAAAATTATTCGATATTTATGACGTTTATGAGGCCGCGCAAGAACAGATTGAGATGCAGTTCTATCCAGCTGTTGCTAATTTTTACAAAAGAATAAATAAATGCAGTGTTGAAAACGAAAATAAAATTCAACAACTCGATAGGTAGATTTATAAAAAAATAGATTTTATTTCTGAAAATCTCAGCTTGCAATCATATATAATCTCTGAAATTCTATTACAGTGCTGTTAAAAAAGTTTTATTAAAAATGGTATCAATACCACTCGGATTGCAAGCGCTCGTCAATGAGAAGTTAATATTCGAAGAACTGATTCGTGGATTAATCGCTCCTTTAAGAGTAATCTGGAGTTCTACTGACATAGTGAGCTTCATTTCATCGGCTGGTTATTTTGATCTGGGCTACAATGTGCTCGCAAATCTCGGATCCCATGTTCTGTCAACTTTATTATCGCAAACCTGCACAAACGCAAAGGATTCCAGATTTTTTTATGATCCTTGGGATAGAGAAAATGTTCACGAATTTCTACATATTCTCACATTATTTTCTCTTAATTTTAATTGTACGAAACTGAACCATTTATATTTCTTATTGTACATATTCTTAACATGTAATGGATATATACATCCATTAACAGGTTTTGCCGCGTTTATGGTCAATGATAGCGAATCGGATAATGACGAGGAAAAGGATTATCCTTCAAATTTGTTTGAATTACTGCAGGCTGCAATAGACGAGGATTCAATTTATCATTATTTAGCTCTTCTATCGTTGAATACTGTAATTTGGAATCTAGACGTTTGTGCTTATTTATTAAATTTGTTAAATTTCCAGGTAATACATTATATGCGATGAAACAGCAGCTGTATACTTGTATATAATAATGTAATAATAATTTTTTAGGAAGCACTATTAGATATTCAGAAAAATAGCACAATTTTCCTTGAAGTTCGCAAAGAAAGCGACGATGAGACTTATTATAAGACAGAGGACGATATTGATGATGATGATAAGCCAGAACTGCGAAAGGAATACATAATTGATGAATGCAGTTTCGTACGACATGATATTTTATTAAAATCATATTACATGACATATAAAAAAAAACAATGTGTGATACCATTTGAAGAATACGAGCTTTTTTCGGAATTTCCACCTCCCAGAATATACGCAGATATGATGGATTACCGAGAAATGGAATGCGATTCAGAGCTGAACGATATGCTGCAGGAGGAAAGGCCCGGATTGCTAGATATCAGTTGGGTTTCACAAGTTAGAGCGGCTCATAAAGCCTCACGATGTCCAATTAAGGTAATTTCATAAAGATAAATTTAGTATTCTATTTAATAACAGAAATTAGAAAAATAATTTTTATTTTAGAATTCCATGATGACGAATTTGTTAAATCAAATGCACAAAGCTATTCCAACTGCGGAATGGGTAGAGCAGTTTGAATGGCAGGAGAATATAACATACGATATAGATTATTGGCTTCCGGAAGATATGCATGCTATTAACATTGTTTTGAATTATGCTGAACAACGAGAGATTTTAAAGAACAATAATGACAGTCAGAGGAATTTGAAACAATTCATTCATTCTGCCTACATATTTATACAGTACAATAAACCGAACAGATTCGAGGGATTTGATTGGTTCTTGGCAACAGTGTTTATTATCTGTGATGGAGATGTGGATAAGTATGTAACTCGATATATATATATATATATATATATATATATATATATTATCTTTAAATATTTAATTTATTATTGGAGGAAAGAAGTTAGTATAAAAAAATTGGAGCCTCAGCTGACCGCGAATTAATTCTTTGACAGTTTTGTTTAATTTCCGGTATGGTCACGTATAGTGGCATACATAGTTCTTGTTCAATCAATACTTTTTGCGATATTTTAATCACAAAAAAATTGATCAAATAAAAATTTCAAAGCTATCAATAGCGATTAACTCAAGCAAATCATATATCATCATTGGCAGGTCTCAGATTGAAAACTTAGTTCTCATCGGATCAATGTTTCTTTATTATCATCAACCCGTATCAATATTTTCTTTTCATCATTGACCAGATAATATGCTATTATATCAATATATTATTAAATATCCTAATTAGCAATTGATTATAGATGCAAGACTTTTATCATGCAAGTAATTCAATTTCCATCAACATTGCTTCTCTGGCCGAAATTAGGCAAAGTTATCGATGAAAAAAATAACGAAGGCACTAGTTCGCAGTTTACCTTTATGCAAGTTTTAGAAACTATGGTTAACATCGAGCTTCCAAATATTAAATATGGATTAAAGGTAAATTTTGTAATTTAAAAAATTTGTTTACCTAAAAATATAATGTTTTGATTTTCAAACGAAAAGGATGTCTTCGGTGTCAATTGGTGGATGATATTCAATAGAATGTTGTCACAATGCTTCTGGGGAATCCTTCCATGGAGCGAAATCGTTCATTTTTTTGCAATATGCATTTTATATCCATCCGATTATATGGTGTATTATTCTGTATCATTTTTGCAATTTTGCCAGGAAGAGCTACTGCAGGATTTAACAAACAGAAAAATGTGGCCGGAGTGCATGGTATATACATGAAATGTACTAGAGTTATTTTCTTTTAATATCATTAGATAACTTGCTAAATGCATTTTTCTGCAGGTATTGGATGAGTATCGCTGTCATAATTATATTACGTATATGGATAATTTAGGTCAACGATATAGAAATCGGATTTTACCCGCAATGACTAAAAATTTAAATTCGGAAGATGAAATATAATATATATATATATATATATATCACGAGATGTTAATTCAAAAAGCATGAAAAAAAGATGTGTACCATTCAACATTATCGAAAAAACAAATTACACATTCATGCAAAAGAAAATATCTTAACATGAAATAATTAAACACTAGTAAAATGTATGTATATAACAAATAACAATTAATTATTGTAATTAATAGTTCCTCTGTTTTTCTATTTCCTATAAGTGCTTTCAATTTTCATTAGCTATGATGGATGTATGTATGTACACTTTGCACATATATGAGAACATTTTCTGTATAGATTGTATTTAGAAATCTTCATGTATACAACATAACATTGACTCTGGTACTCGCATAATTCGCATACCTGCGAAATCCAACGATATACGAGTTATCGCTTGCAGAGTTTCCAATGATAATACCTCAAACACAAAAATCAGATACCTTTTTACACATATACGGTACAATAATCTCTCAATATTGTCATTCACTCTTTTACTTGCTAATTAAACAATCAATCTTCATGGATTGTAAAAAGTTTTGCTACTTCATTTAAATCATCATACTTCGTGTTTCCTGCAAGAACCTGAAATAATATAAAAATTATTTCTATTTAAATTATATAATGTTATATGATTGTATCTGAATAAATCAGGAATATTTGAAAGGAGTTATAATATAAATACAAAACAGATTAATGCTGATAAATTTACCCGTCTGGCAAGCGACATTCGATTGAAGATATTCCACAGAACTATTCCTACTACAACATCATCTCGTAGATAGAAAACAACGCCCTTCTCAAAATCTTTGTATTTCGTAGATTGCTCTGGTTTTATTTTATCTCCAAGCTCTTCTTTCTTTTTTTCTTCTGCATTATCTTCTGTATTATTATTTTTAATAATTTGTGATATCGATGACTCCGATTTTTCATTAGATTGCGAGACTTCAGAATTTGTTTTTTGTTCCTTTAGGAAAAAAAAAATTGTTCAGAGAAATACTTTTATAATTAAATATATCATATGTTTATTATAAGGATTACTTACATCGCTAAGATTATTAACCGTATTTGCTTCTATCGTTTTTGCAAAAACTCCAATAGTTGGCAAAGATGAGTCTACAATACCTATCGCTTCATACCCTACATCAGGTCCCAAATCTGACCAAAACATCGATTGATGCAGATAAGGTTTACCTGTAAAGAAAAATTTACGTGTCCATACTTTCGTAAATGTATTATTTTAGAGATATCTCTGAATTTGTTGAATTACCTGCGCCGGTCATATTTTCACCTGCTAATCTTCCAGAGGTAACTGCATGATCATGATGTTCAACTCTTCTTCTACCAAGTTTGACGTCATAGAAACATGCGGCGTCTCCAGCAACCCAAAGATTGCTTCTCGCCTCTAATTCAGCGTTAACGAGAAATCCTCCTATTTTAGGATCTGTCTCTAAATTGGAAGTTGTTGCCAAATCTGTATTTGGTTGAACACCTACCGCTACTATTACTTGATCAGCATCAATCTTTTTACCACAAAAAAATAAAAAATTTCAATATAAATCGAAATACTTAACTAATTGCATAGAAAGCTATATAATTATACAATATATAAAATTACGTGAGCTCTTGAACATATCAACATACAGTCTGACCACCAGTGAGGACAAGGGACAATCGATCATTTTTGTATTTATAATCTTGAACTTCTGTGTTAGATATGGTGCGAACACCTTCTGCTTCAGCTTTTTTCGTGGTCCATTCACTCAAATATTCTGGTAATACTTGTGCCATTATAAATTTTTCTTTATAAATTTGAAAAATATTTTTAGATTTATCTACAATAAAACACATTTTTTTCATTATAAATTATTTACAAATATATTGATAGTGAATAAAAAACTTACAACTCCTAGCAAGTGCGCAAGCGAGTTCCGAACCAAGAAATCCACCACCAATAATGACAACATTCTTGCATTTAGAATTAGAAACATTTTCTTCCAAATCGAGAAAATCATCTTTTGTTCTGAACGTTATAACCTTATCTTTTATATTATCCTCAGCGGATTCGAATATCGGCAGATTTTTAGGCGATGCGCCTGCGAATACAATATAGAATTACATATAGAAAATTTAATTTTGAATTTTGATTTTGTTTGATAACATTTTTTAACAGAATCTACCAGTTGCAATGAGGCATTTATTGTAATTTATTTCATAACCATTTTCGAGAGTCACAGTTTTATTTATAACATCGATTTCTGTTACTTTCCAACCCATAGCTACAGCAACTCCACCCTTATCTGATTCAGTAAGATCAGTAACATTTGAGTAAAATTCTTGTGGCTCATAGAATATACTATAACATAAATATAAACATTCTGTATGCAAGTAAAAAGATAATTGTAAGGACATTATTCATTGTATGGTTAAACTGATCAAAATTTACCTTCTTTGAGTTCCATTCCATTGATTAAAACGTAATTGTGCAGTTGTGTCTCTATCTGTATTATACCAAAGTTCTTTAGATAACGGTGGCCTCATATATGGAAATTGTCCCTCTTGTGCTATAACTAAAACCTGGAAAAAAATTCTTACATGCATAAATAAAAAAAAAAGAAAATCTTAATATTATTAATATACTCCATACCTTAGCTTTGGGATCTCTAGATTTAATTGATCTAAATGCTGAAAATGCAGCTGTTCCTCCACCTATCAATAGATAAGGAACTTCTTTGGGGATCAATTTGGAATCTGCTGGAACTTTTACTATGTTTTTAGATCTCAAATGCCTTCTCCCTTCTTTTTTTTCTAAAAACACAAATAGTATATATAAATAGTAATATTTTTAATATTTCTATTATTCCAACATATAATTTTTTATTTAACTTACGTTTACTTTGGCTTTTCTGTTGATCTGTTTTGTCATCTTCCAAAAAAGATGAAGATATCTATTAAAAACGTTACAATAAAACAATTGGATTAATCAGTGTTCTTAATCAAATAAAAATTATCATACATTGTAATACCTTGTATGCAACTCCTGTCATAATTAAGGCAGCAACTAAGTGCCAGTAGCTAAATTGATATTTTCCATTTTTTCTAAAATCTGAGCCTTTTTCATTTGGTTGAATCTGTTTGTTGTTTGGTTTACATTTTTCTTGTGTAGGACAAGGTGCTCCAGTTTCACAGACAGGAAATGTTTTTTGTGACTTGAGATGTTTAGATTCAGATATACATTCCTCTGGCTTGACAGTGGTACCTGATGGCTTATGTGGCTTTTTATTGCTTGCATCGCTATTGTGGCGTAAGTTACTAATATTTACAACTCCTGTAATATTTTTGAATGTTATCAACAGGTATTATAAACAAGAGGATATTCTCAAAGAGTCCTTATAATATATTTTATATGTAATATTTTACTGCATTATTCATATTATTGCCCAGCCAGCCACTTTTAGTCAGTAAAAAAATATTATTTCTGATTCAAAAAGATAACGTCACTTTACTAGTAAAAAATAGTAGCACAGTAATACGAATGATGCAATGAAATACTAGATACATAAAATGTATATTTTGAAATTAAATTAACAATATGAAAAAAAAAACAAAGAGATTTATCAAAAAAAACATTTATTACAATTTTCTCAAAAGACGCGAGAATATCTTTATCTCTCATTTCAAATTATTAATAATGTAACATAATATTGTACTTTTACAAAACCAAAAGAAAGTGTCTCCAGGTTAGGTTATTCGCTGCCTATTTCAGAGCAGATAAGCCGCATGGAAGAAAGAGATTGTAAACACAGATCCAAACGTACGATTATCGCTCGGAAGGTTACGCAATCAGAGTACAGAATATTGTGCATAAAAAAAAAAAGAAAATGACGAGCGGGAAACAAAAGCGTTCTTTCAAATCAATATCCCGAGCAGACATGAATCAGAACAACAAAAGAGCAGAAAAGAAGAGAATTCGCTGAGATAGCTAACACTCACCGGCATATTTTACAGATCGATACAGGTGATTCACATGGGTGAGCCTGCCGGGCAATTGGCCGACAATTCTACCGCAGACGAACATCTTCACGAGTCGGTTGTCTTTATGCAATATGGTGGGCGTTCGGCCGTGTTTTCCACTCAGCTGCTGTTATGTGCAGCAATCAGCCGCTGGCTATTGCCGCCGCTTTTACTCTGGACCGGAAGGATGCTCACCGGAAGGATGCTCACTGTACGACACGCCATTACCTGGATTCTCACCTCCTTTCCCAAAGTTGCACCAACTCGCAAAAAAACCGACCCTCTACTTATAGCAGCGGGAATGATTGCTGACGAGTGATGACTGATGGGCAAAACACGTGAATTTTTGATATCGCTTCGTCGCGCATACATACACTGAATACACGAACCGGTATAAGTTGCTACCGAGACCGCCTTTTACCTCTTTAGCGCATGCGCACCGTTTCGAAGGTGACTCCAGAAGTGCGTTCCAAAACTCGATTATGTCAACTCGGGCTGCATTCGGAAATATCATCCGAGTGTCCCCATGTATTAATTGGCTGCATTCAGCAGATTCAAGTGAACGCTCGCTGCTATTGATGTATTTTTCTAGATCTAAAATTCTGATTGGATGATCTAAAAGAATACACCAATAATAGCGAGCGCTTACTTAACTATTAAGTTCGCTGAATACGCCCATTTTATCTTTATAGCCTTAAACAATGCGAGGCAACAACGATAAAAATAACGATAGCGATAGGAACAGAGGAATCCAACATACGGGAAATGCATATGTCAATGCACTTAAAACACGAAATAATGGTGCAGCCAATAAAAGAAATAAAGAAATTAGGAGAATAAGGATTCTTCACTCATCGTGAATTCTAGTCTATTCAATATCTGGATAGAGTTGAAAAAGCCTTATTCCTTCTGTTATGGCTGCACCTTGAGGCAATATTGATAAATTTCTGACAAGTTGGAATTCTGTGTCTATCGCCTTGTAGCGACAATCCTACATATAAAAGGAATGTCGGTA